CAGCAAAAGGAGGCTCAACCACCGGAATGCATGGGTATCCTGACTGCATCAGGAGATAAAAGCAGACCTAGAGGCGTGGTTTCAGTTCACACTGTCCTTCAGCATGGAATGCCTTTCTACCTTTGATACAATCCTACTCATTTTCAAGAACTCAGTTCAAACAATACTTCTTTTTTGTTAGTGTCTTCAGAACTTCTAACTTCTATCTTCATTGCTCCCTAGGCCTTTTGTACCTATCTCTTTTGGGGGGGGGGGGCGGGGATCGATCTAGGGACCTTGCGCTTTCCAGGCAGGCAGGAGAACCACTGAGCTAAATCCCTGGCCCCTGTACCTACCTCTTATCAGACTTAATGCACTTTTCACTCTGCATAGTATTATATTTACTTACATAGCTGGAAGTTTCTTGAGAGCAAAGACCATATTTTTAATCTTTGTATCCACCTTCCCACCTACCACCACCGTGTCGCCAATACTGGCCTACAGCAGATATTAACCAATGTTTATGGAGTTGACTATTGAAAGAGCAAGACCTCACACTCAAGAAGGAGGTAAATGTCAGAGACCCAGGTGGGCAGAAAAGGTGGGACAGTGCACACACAAAAAAACGAGTGGAGACAACAGTGGACAAGGCAACGTCAGCAAGGTTGACCCCACATAAGGGCACAACCATGGGAACAAGAGGCAAAGCTAAACTGAAAGTTCTGAGAAGACTAGGCAGGGATCTGGCCCTGGAAACACTGGGGATTAAATAGAGAACGGGGTACCCTTTAGAGGTCCAGGCACTAAGAGGCAAAGGCATCATAGTAAGCCCTACACTCAGTGGGCTTGCGAATAGGAACAAGGGCAGGGAACAGGCCCAGGGCAAAGAGTCAGAGCAAAGCTGAAGTTGTATTAAAGCCCAGAACTTCTGACTTAGCTAACATCCCCAGGTCTGCCAAAGGTGAGCTAGCAGCTCAGGATTAGTGACCCTGACTAAGAAACTGAGAAACTACCAGGCCTGGTGGCATATACCTGTAATCCCAGCACTTTGAGAGACTGAGGCAGAAGGAGCTCAAGTTTGAGCCTAAGCTGAGCAACTTACTGACTTAGTGAGACTCTGTCTCAAAAATAAAAATAAAGAAGGGCTGGGGAAGTAGCTTAGTATGAAGGGCCCAGGTTCAATTCCCAGAATCACTAGTAATAATAACAATCATTATTATTATTATTTAATAATTATTTAAAGAAAAGAAATTGAGAAACTGCAGAGGCCACAGTCATTACAAATTTAAATAGTGATCACCTCCATTAAGTAGAATTAGAGGTGGAAGAGATTCTTAGATCTATAAAAGATATTAAAAATCTGGTGTAAAAAACTGAAAGTGTAAAATAAGAATCAAAATGTATAATTGATATTGTGAAGTAGGAAGAAAAGATCTAAAGGAGTGGGGGAAGTGGGAGGGGTAGGGGAAAGGAAAGAAGGGAAGAGAAAAAATATGAGAAAAGGAAAAACAATGGAAACAAAGTCTTTGTAAACAGGGAAGGGTGGAGGGGGTGAAGGAAGGGCAAGGGAATGGGGAAAAAAATGAGAACCAAGATACATTATGTAAAGGTACAAGATCCCAGTGATGAATGTAACTGTATTGTATACCTAAAATCTGATCTGCTTCTACATATGAGGAAAGCAAGAACTAAGCAGAGAAGGAGACTTATCTAAATTCACTCAGGGAAAAGTCAATGCTAGAACCTAAGTCTGCTAACTCCCAATCTAGATCTTATCCCCTCAGAGGCTTCCTCTCTGCAGGTCTCCCGATGGCTCCACTAACACACCAGGTACCCAACTTCAGCCCCTTCAGAATCTCAGGGAGCCCCCAACGTAGCAACTAAGCAGCACACGCGCTTCTGCCTAAGTGAGCAATGCAGGCTTCTACCTCAGGGTGGGGGGAAGACAGAACAAATGCCCCACAGGAAATATGCAGGTAGCAGGCCACCTTGGGCTTAGAAAGCAAAAGGCCACTGTTGTATACGTTTACTGTTCAGCAGCAAAAACCCTGTACTGACACACGCATAGGTAGATAAATATGAATCATTGTGCCATCCCTGGAATTTTCCAAAAGGGGCTAAAGAGACCCAGTATTGATAGTAAAGCTGATAGTGCACGAGACATACAATTTTCACACTCATTTAGTTTCTCCATAGATGAAGTCTTCAAGTACTTCAAGTTCCTACTGTGTGATCCAGAGCCTGCCAAATTACCTGTTATAAGTCTTATTAGTGGCCTAATTCATAAAATAGTAATCTAACACATGAGAACAGGTTTATTATGAAGATAAAATAGTATCCATTAAGCATTTAGCACACTGTCTGGCCCATAATAACCACTAGGTAACTTTGTATTTATTTGCTTTCTTTTGTTCCTGGGAAGGGAAGGTTTTCCCACAATCCTGCTCAGTCTACCTGTGTTTTCCCTTCCCACTGGACCCTTCTATGCAGACATCCCATTTGAGACCCCAGCCCAGACAGCTCACTCCTCTCCCTGCTTATCCCTTGGATATTAAAGGCAATTAATGGAAATTAAGGCAACTAGTTAGCTATGTGCTACACACAGGTCACTGAAGTTCAGAATTGTCAGTTTAGTCGAAGGGGCTATTCCCACCTCCGCAAGTGTCCCTGCACCAATCCCTCACCAGGATAACACCCAGTTTAGTATGGTATCTTTTCCAAGGTGAATCCTCTCCCAGAAGCTGCCCACTGGCTGGCTCGCTCTGGGCCTCAGACAAACAGATGACTAGTATGCCAGATCTGGACACTAATAACTGGAGATAATTCCTAGAATCAATTTACCAGTGGGCAACAGCCTAGAGTCTGAACCTACAGGGACAACAAGGTATGCCCACAGCCCCCCAGAGACTGAAGCAGAGAAGGAGAGCGCTGAAATGAAGCTGCAAAGGGCTCTGGGGCTCATGATCACGCCTCACAGTGCCCCGCTAAGAAGCCACATAAAGGTCACACCCATGTAGGGTCTTAGTCCACATGTTTGCACTGGCCATGTCTGCCACAGCACTGTAAATGTGGCTACCACAGGGCATGAAAAGCCTTTGAAGGGGACAAAGAGAATGGAATCAATGGTTGCTGAATGCCTACTACATGCCAAGAACTGTGCATGTTATCCTCACCAATACCTTTTGTGTGATTTTATAAGGTATACCTTAGCAATTATTATCCTCATTGTGCCAACAGAATGAGAGACAGAAAAAATCTATGAAATCCCTGTCCCCCTGCTACCGTGCTACCCAACCCCAATGTCTCAAATGATCTGGGAAAGACAAGGGAAAGCTAGAGTCTAAGACAGTGGTGGCGAACCTATGACACACATGCTGCAGTGGGCTGTTTCTATCATTGAAAGCTCTAGGAGTTTCGCCATCACTGGTGTAAGGCATTATGTGCCAGGCTCTTGGCCCTTAATTCACAAGTAGACAATATCAGTTTAAATATCAATTCTCCCATTCACTGCTGCAAGAGTCAACCTCTTCCAAACAGAATCTAGACAAATACAGCAAAAGTCATAAAGATGTTCATAACCTTTGATCTTCATCCCTAAGATCTTAAGAAAACACTTCAACAGGGATTCACTGCAGAATTCACAATAGTGATTTAAAAATTTAGAAAGAAATGATCTAAATGCCCAACATCCAAAGGTTTGGAAAATCCCAGAACCTTCTAATCATGTAATATTACACAGCCACTTTAAGTGATCATTTTTAAAGACCAAGAGGAAACACAGCAAAACATTTGTGATAAAATAAACAAAGACTGAATACAACACCTCATAAATACTATCACTAAAGAAGTATGTACACGTGCATATGCAAGAAAGAATTTAGTCATGCTAAGGTGATAAGATTATGGTGAGTTTATTAATTATCATCACGTGCAAATGGTCTTTGTGGTGTTATTTAGCACCTGTCCAATCAAAAGAAAAGAGAGAGAAATAAAAGACTCAACCCAGCACTAAGAAAGGGCCCAGAGGACCAGAGCTGGGAGGCAAAGCAGAAATTGAGAACCGACCTACATACCCAGAAGGAGGAGGCCAGATAGGCCCCTGGGGAAGGGAAGCCCTCCAGGTATGGACAGGGAAGCCTTCCAGGTATGGAGAGGGCTGTAATTAGTCTGATGCTAATTACAGAAGTCTTACTAGCTTACTAATTTTTTGACAGACTCTGAATGAAGACTGAACTCCTTCATTAAGTTTCAGAGGCACATTTCCTATGTGGCCATTCGTCTCAAAAACCTAACCTTTTCTTTTTCAAAAGAGTAGTGAAGTAAAATTTAGTAAGAGCAACACACACTCTGGAGAAATTAAGACTCCTGCCTTAAATGTAGAAAATTAAACCCAATACAGAGAACCAGAACCAGAGAGGCTTGAATAAGCAACAGAACTACAATATTATTTACACTGGGAAATAGAAACTGAAGTTTTAAACATTCAGCTCAGTACTAAAGGTTCCCTTGATCTCATTCCAACCCATCTTTCTAATATTACCTCAAAATTCTCCCATGTTCCAGTCAGATTTAGCCACCAGTGATCCCCAAAACATCTTCATATTCCTATCCCCATGCCTGTTCAAGCTGTTTACCTACCTAAAAGCTACCTTAGCTCCTACAACTGCTTGCTCAAGCCTGACCCGTCCTCTAAGGCACAGCTCAAAGCTACATCATTCTCAAAGCCCAGTCCAATCCATGTACCCTGAATTCATTTCCCATTCCTCCCATTAAACCCAGGACACTGTACCCTGAACCTTTCCACAGGAGTTACACACCGTCTGCCTTATGGTATCGTCACTCGGGTAACTGGAAAAATGATTCTTCTGCCATATTAAACGTGAGCTTCTTGGGGATAAAGACCCTTTCGGGTTCCTACACAGAAGCCATCATGAGGCCTGGCACACAGAAGCCCTCACTAAACACATCACTGGAAGACAAGGGAAAGAGACGCACTGCATCCATGAGGAGTCACCGCCTACCTCCGTGGCTCCCATCAGGCAATGCAGAGGTGAAGGTGTGCTGTTCGGTGGTCTCGATGAATCCTGGTTTTCTAGTTTCCAGTCTTCTTGAGTCTCCAGCTTCCTCCCTAGTTGACCATAGTCTGCTCGGCCCCAAGTAAACACCTTGCCAGTTTCTAAAAACAAATATTATTTGAATTAGGGCTACATTTCACGGTGATGCTCTCATGGGTAGGCAATGAAATACTAGAGAAAATGTGAACATTTGCTTTAGCACTGACTGCTCTGTACCAAGAGCCTTCCTATCTCCTTGTAAAGAAAGCAGGGGTATTCACATTGTTACAGATATGGAACTGAGTTCAGAGAGATTAAACAATTTTCCCAGGATCAAACAAATAGTGAGGACCAGAGCAGGAATCAAACAGGTTGATCCTAAAGCCCATACTCTTGCACTGTATACAGCTAGAGATAATGGTTATTACTACAGATAAACTTCAATCACACTTATGTCTACCCACACATCCTCCTTGTGCTTTGCCTAGATGCCTATTCTCAGGCTCTCCTACCTCTAACCTTACCCAAGGCCCCTTTACTGTCACTGAAGTTCTCCACATGTATTTCAAACTTTTAAGGCCTTATTCTTCATTAATAGCTGGTTTCATGTTTTCCCCACCATGTAACACAAGAGGACCTCTCACGGCCTGTGCTCTTACTAAATGAACAATTCTAATAGTTCCAAGGCAAGCACCAATGTGTGCTAGAAGAAAGACAGTGAGAGAGAAGGAAAAAAAAGACAAAATCATTTGGAACCAGAAAAGCAGCTGGCTCCCCAGCACCACATGGGAAGCTGGCCAGTGCTGAAGATTATAGAAGAAAATGAAGTTTGAAAAAGGAGACATAGCCTTTCCTCTCCAGATAAGGGAAAATTCACCAAACTCATTCAGTTGTACCAAGTGCCGCACTTGTTATTTCAACAGAAATGCAAAATCCGATGAGACATAGATTATTAACAGATTCTCTGCAATAAATATGCATAACCATGTGCGCTGTATAAATTCTTTATACATGTTTATTTTAACAAAGAAAAACTCTGCTTAAGAGACAAAACACCAAGTAATGCATATTAAATTCTAGATAAATCTACTACATACTCTGTGTTTGGTATCAAAGCTTCATCTGGCCCCACATTCAACATATGTTTTATAGTGTTGGCTAAAAACAACTACAGACTCATGGGGAAAATGTCAGAATATCACAGGGAGATAGGGCTGGGCATGGATGCAGTTCTCAAGCTCCACCTGCTTGGAACCACTGAGGTAAACACCAAGCAGTTTCCAGGCATCTGACTTTGGGGCTTCCTCAAAGAGAGAACAAACCCTGTGTAGCCCACACGGAGCTCAGTATGGCAGGGGAACTGGGAGTGGGTGCATTCAGGTACACTATTTCATGCATCAACAGGTACGGTTCCTTTCCCACCTGGTAAACTATGGCTCAACTTCTAGGGTCTAACTCATGGGCCACTAGCTCTCTGAAGCCTTTCTTGACTCTCCAACTCTCCCCAGAAAGGGTGAAACTCACCTTCCTGTAAGTTCCTTTATTAGTGTACTATCAGCTACTAAACTGCCATTCAACACTCAACATTCTCCCTTCACTTATGCAGGATCAGACTGAAAAAAGTCCATGTACCCAGAACCCTCAAAGCATTGAAAACCGGCAAACTGTGCTCACTGAAGTTGGCTAGGATTTATGATTAAATAGCCCTAGCAGAAGCCGTCCAAGAAGCCAGAGGATGAGGCTGGGCTTCTTAAACATCCCTATCACTTCTCAGCTGGGCAGAAATAGAAAGCTGTTATCTGCAAGAATATGGAAAGAATTTGTTCTCACAAATTGCCCAATGAATCCTGTCTATCACATCAAGCAAAACACCTTACAACTTTCTCTGTTATTGATTATTGATGTCCAAGACAGGCAAGACTGCCAGGATATGGTGCCACCATTATTACATCTCCAATAGCAATTCAACCATTTCACTTACGTGGCACTTTTCACCTTCAAAGCATTTGACAAAGATTAACTAATTAATCTTCATACTCTCTAGGGAGTCTGCAGATGATCTGATAGAGACAAGCCTAGAAACCAAGCCAATTTCACGTTCAGCCTTCAGTCTCAAGACTAAGTTTGGTGTCCTCTCTGAACCCATTTGTCTATTTCTTCTCAAAGGACACTCTGCCTCAGAAGGCTCACCAGCAACAGAGGAGATTCCTATTTCTCCTTTCCTTTAAACAGGCATTTATGGACAACTTCCCAGGTACCCAGAATTCATTTCAATTAATCCTCATAATAACTCTGACATAGAGATTATTAAGCTTATTTTGCAGATGAGCTTACATGACTTGAAAGTCAAATGACTCAGTCAAGTTCAAACAACCAGCAGGTGGTGAAATCAAGATTTAAACGTGTGTCTTCTGCCTCCAGGTCCAATGGTGTCTACAATGATTGCACAGCTGCTGCCGCAAACTGACAAAACCTGGTGGATAAAACAGCCATGTTTACCATGTTTGAAGACAGGGGACCAGATTAAATGGATATTCTGTGTGCTGCCCAGCTTTCCTCACTAGACTGACCTCTCCAAGGGGCTCATGTTCCACTCACAACTCTCACTGCTGAAATAAAGGCATTCAACACATGGGTTATGATTTTATGTCACCTTGAGTAAAAGAAAATAATGAATCTACACGTAAAAAAATGTTCATTAGTGCACTGTAGATAAATGTCTGCCTCAAGCTAGATCATGCTGTCAAATCCAAGGAGATTCAGATCATAAATTTCACAAATGAATCTTTCCCTTAAAGAATTACATATTACTGAGATAAAAAATAGATATATTAATGTCATCTAAAAAGTATAGGTATGTGTCTGTGGATAAATGATAAATGAGAGAAATGACAAAACAGCTCAAAAAAAGTCAGCAAATGAAATATAATTTAAAGACACATCCATGTAAGAATTAACAGAATAACTACAGAACCAAGAAATAACATTGCAACCAGTCTCAATGCAATATAGAAAACAACAGGAGCCAAATGAGTAGTATTGACAATGAACATTTAAGGGAGTTTAGAGGCAACATTTTAAGCTAGAATTGTCCTGGCAGTTTCGATGGAACAAATGCCATTTAAGGTGAACTTCTGTATAAGAAAATAAAATGGGAAAATGAGGGAGGATGTTGTAGGAGCGAGGAGAAAGAGGTGAAATAACATGAAAATCAAAAGGGACAAGGCCAAAGAGTGAAGGGAGATGCTAGGAGGGAGGCTGCAGGGAGGTCAGGACTGCCAGGCTAGGCAGCCACAAGGAGATGGCAGGCGTGGAATCTGGATCTCACTTTCCACACCACGGGGCCACAAATCTGGTTGCCTCCTCTTCGCTATCAGTACCATATTTTTTAGCATATCAACATGTGTATTTTCACTTATTTATGAAAATGTACGCTTGTGTTTGACATATTTATCATTCTTTACAAATTTACCCTCTAAAATATACAGGATGACAGACTCAAAAAACAGAAAATTTAAAAGAATGCCAATAAAAACATAAAAGAAGTCCTAAAACTGTCTTATCTCACCCAGGCAATTCACCTTGCACACTCAGTTTAGGGACCACTGCAGACTGTTGGACAAGAGCGGGACCACGTGCAAGGAATGTTTGGAGGTGGTATCTCCAGCAAAAGCCTGGAGGACAACACCTCTGGAGACCTACTACGCCTAAGCAGCACTGGGCACTGTGTTATGCACTCTCTGTACAGTGTCCTGTTCATTCTTCCAACAGTACTCTCACCATCCGCATTTTACTGACAGGGAATAATAGACTTAACCCAAGTCACAGAAGCAGTAAGTGAAAATGAAAGAAAATGGGGCCTAAAGTGGGGTGAGAATCATAGAGAAAAAAAGAAAAGTTTTTAGAGCTCAGTACCTCATTAGAAAAAGAACAGAAAGACATGAATGCCACTCTGAGATTTCAGGATTTCAGAGTGAGTAGGAAGGTGGTGGTACCTTAAAAGAAGTAACTGAAGGGGTAGAGATGCTAGATCAAGGGTCTTGCCAACAAGAATCATAAAATATTACTTTACTACCAAATGATATAACCCTCCTAGGGCCTCTTGCAAACATATTATCAAGCAGTCAAATATAAATAAGGGGGCGAGGGGAAGTAGAAAGACCACCGGGTGCCAAGCCTGAGAGGAGGAGCTTTGAGGGCAGGGTGGTGGGTGGGGAATGTTCTGGAAGCTGACTTCCAACAGCACCCAGCCACACTGCCTGGACTGGAGGTACAGGTGGGGCCTGCAGCCACATGGGCAGCCACAGCACAGTGAGAAGCCACTCACTCTAACACTGGCTGAGTTCCTCAGGAAAATGACATTTCTCTCCCGTTCTAGGGACGGGGGCCTGAAGGTGACAGGAGGACAGATTAGAGGAATATACACATTTTCTTAACAGAATCAATTCAACAAGGAAACAGTGTTGTGGACAATAACACAATGGAGTCAGTAAACAGAGGTGGATGTTTGAAAAGGAGAATCCATGGGTCCCATAGGTACAAGGCCACACAAGCTCTCCAGTCTCTAAACTCTCATCTCCCAGGATGCTGTGATGCCTTTGAGAATATATGAGTGGGAAGCTACTCTCTACCTATGAGTTTTTAACATTTACAACTCAACTTTTTATGAATTCTAGTTACTCTTGGGGTTATTTATTCTTAGCCCTGAGAAGGTAAGAATAACTTCTGTAGCTCACCCTTTATTCTGCCATGTGACAGAAACTTTATAACAAATGCATTGGATTTGTTTTAATACATCACTAACAGCCCAAGAGCGATCCGGGACCCTCTCTCTGTGTAAGGAGCAGAAGAGCCAAGGAGAGGGCTGGCCGGAAGCGGTCACTCTGGTACCATGCCATGCTGCCACAGGCCCGTCCTCACTGTCCCTGTGTCTATTCCCCTTGACCCCGTGCACAAGTCACCTCCTACTCACTCCGGTTCTGCTGACTCCTCAGCCCAGAGTATTCTTCTGCACAATAATCCCAGGAACCATGATCCACCTTTTGGGAGCTCTTCTCTACGTTCGTAAGCACATATTCCTAAGAACTATCTTGTCCTCCAGCAAGCCAGGTACATGACAGCA